CCCCGTCCCCCCATGTCAAAAAAAGCCCGGTCTAGGTAGGGTTAAAAGAAAGCTGAACCATTTAAAATTGGTCCATACAGATAAGTAAGATGCTTATTATCAACTAGAATCAACTATCAACTGGATAGATTTGTGTTTCTTCTCCTATATATAAACATATTGTATTACAGATTCGGTTTGAAGGTGTAAGAGGAGCTGGCTATGATAGTGTCATGGCGATTGATGACGTTGCTATCACATCTGGTCCCTGCAGTAAGATTTTTGTTGTTGTTTCATAACATTCCTTGGTTTAATATAATTGTTTCATTATATACTGACGTCATTTGATTTGTTGTTATTTCATTATATCCCTTTTGTTGTAAAACAATACATATTTAATTTTGTATCTAGTTGTTTAACCTTTCTTGTATGCAGAAACCTTATTTACTGCTTCAAATTAATGTCATCATGATCTAAATCTAAAAATGAAAATAAACAAACCCATATACATACTATTAGATACGTGTGTATAACAGAGGTAATTCAAATGTTATGTGCCTTTCATCTCAAAAATATTTTCGTCACAAACATGTAAAAACCTACCATGTTTTGCAAATGTTGTGTTTGTATCAGCCAAATTGTTCTTACATTTTTCTTAATCTTTTCGAAGTGTCAGCCATCTGTGCTCCAGACCAGTTTGCCTGCTGGGATAAAAGTTGTATTCCCACCAACCTGACGTGTGAGGGTAATTCTGACTGCCCTGATGGAAGTGATGAAGTCTTTTGTAACCGTATGCCAAGTGAGTGATTTGATTACAGATTTGATTATTGATGTAGTGCTTAACTAATATGTTATGTTCTATTAGATGCTAAGGGTGTTTTGCAAGGTCCCTTGGTGTAGAAATTCAATTTGTATTGTTGAAAAACATACATTTGTTCATACCTGCGTCTCATCTTCGTTATTTTTAGATACATGGAACCTACGTTAGCAGTTCAATGATGACTTCCCCATTTGAAATGTAAATGAAGTAAAACTTTCGGTAGTTTGGTCTTCAATACGTTGCGTTAGTACTATACAAAACGATACAGAGGGGACAATGTACCAACCATTCAAAACATTGACAAGTTGACATTTCAAGAGGAACTTTAAATGATATATACGTTGAAAGCGTCAGTGGTGCTGAATAACATTGTACACAAGATCGACATGGCTTTCCTTATTATTTACAGAAGAGCAAACTAATATATGCTACTTTTACAGTTCCTTCACCCGGTGTGAATTGTGGTAACCCCGCTGTACTGAGTGGAAACATTGGCAGTTTTACATCACCAGGGTACCCCAACAGCTACCCTAACAACGCCTTATGTTCCTGGCAGATATCTGTCAATACCAGCGAAGTGATTGCTATTCGGTAAGGAATGTTTGGTTCTATAAACGAGATAGTGTACAAATACAAAGAATCAAAGAAGAGTAATTGCATGAGAGAGTCGAATTGAATTGAATAGATAAGGTAAGGTAAGGTACGTTAAAATTAATGTTTTAAACTGTTTTTTTTTCCACAGTTTTGATGTCTTCGACCTAAATCACTGCTACGGAAATTCCCTGACCATATATGATGGCTCAAGCACAGTAGCACGTCGAGTGGACACTCTTTGCGGTTCAAACGGCCGAACGATCTTCACAACTGGCAGAAACGCCTTTGTGGTATTCCGGACGGACGGGCTGGACACAAGATCAGGATTTTCCGCCACGTTTGCTGCCGAGAGAAGACGTAAGAGAACATGTTCGCCTATACGAAAAAAAGGCTCTTTTAGAAACCTTTTTATCCCTTATCCTTAAACTCATTCGTGCATTCGTACCTTTACTCATTCGTACATGTATATCTGCATGGCAGGTGCTCAAGATCACAGGTCAGCTGTTAAAACTTCTTGTATAAGCTGAACTTGATTTTTTCTCTAGACCTCTTTCTTTTGGTTTATTATTCACATACAGTTTGCCGCACAGCAGCTATCATTGTTTCATTTTTTTTCAATGCGGGAGCT